GGCATAATGTGTCATGTAAATGAAAAATCTGTTATTTATCTGATAGGCTTTGATATTAGCATTAATTAGCTCATAGATAGGAGGACATTGTTTTTCTTTTTCTTCTGCAAAATCCTCTTCAAAGTCCTGTGTATCAAGAATATTGTTTTTCTTGTACTTGATTCATTAATTTGTGTGGGTGTTCAGAGATCAGCTTCAGTATGAACAGTGAACTACCTGTTGAAAAATGAATAATAGATACCTGGTTAAAAAGCTTGGGCCAGACAATGTTATCTACCGATAGAGAAAGAAGGCTTTCTAGCTGAGTTGATGGATTTACTTTCCCAACTTTGATTCTAAGAAAGGATTGATTTGGAAAGGTGACCCAGTTGATAATATCAAAGCCAGTTGCAACCTTCCCATTCTTGTCAAATAGTATGTTTTCTCCAGCACTGTTGTTAAATGAGACTTTTCTCAGGTAGTGATGAAGCTCAAGAGAAGAACATGACAGTAATTAATAAAGATATACAACAATAGGAAAAACATACAGCAATATTATTTCAAAAGATATTGTTGTGCTAGCATGGAACCCAACAGCACCCTTTTAATTTCTGTCTGTCTGTCTGTCTGTCTGTCTGTCTGTCTGTCTGTCAGTATGGAAGTATGGAAGTATGTGCCACAACCACCAACAGCATATTTTCCTCTTCCTTAGTGTAATTTGACAATCATGCCATCTTTTTCTATCTCCTTTTTCACCATTGTGTCCTCTCTGTATTGTAATTTTTATTTTTAGTGCTTGAAGCCACTGTTCTCCCCTGTCATAATTATGTGTCCATCTTTTCCAAAGCACTAAATGGTTTTTCAAAATTCTGTGTTACATTGTGTGAGAGAGAATGGATGCACCATATCCCTGTATTTCACCAGGAGAAAAAGACCTTCTCCCACCATTCATAAACAACAGAATTTGCTCTGAAAAGTGATAGGAATACCACTAATGGGAAAGGTTCATGGGAGACGTTTCTTTCAGGGTCCTTATTTATAATTTAATAAAAAATGTCATGGAGAAATGACACAATAATTGCACCTTTAGTTGGATCATCAGATAACTAATGTATTATTGCAAACTGGAACTGGCAGCATTCCTTTTTTGCAGCAATACTTTAGTCAACTGATTATAAAAGTTATTTGAAATCCTAATACATTGGAATACTTGGAACTTTGCATCATAAAGAAACATTCTGGGGGAAATTAACCTTTTGATACAAGATCAGGAGATGTGGACATTATGATCCATCTAAGTCATTCCTCCAGCATTATATTTAAATCTATATACTATGTGAACAGTGGTAGATATGGAAGCAAAATCCCCTCCTACATTAGCAAATATAGGAGCTTACTTGCCACACTTGATGACTGAGAAGCTTCTGCTTCCCTCTAGCAGTTATTGCTCTGTGCTTGAAGTGGGATGTATGCATGGCTTGGAGAGCATGTGCCACACCATAGACTGCATTGTAGATACTGTAGCTTTGCCCAGTCATGCCCAGTTGAAAAACAGAGTCTGGAAGACTCTCCAACTTCTCTTCCCCACTGCACCTTTCTTCTGACTTTGTATTTAAAGTGGAATTTGAGAAGGAACATCCAAAGGCTTGTTCCCAAAAGACCCTTGAAAAACTATCTTCCTCTTCTGGAACACTGTTTCTCATCTGAAGAAATGTCTTGAATCTTAATAATTCTTTTGAGGAAACTGAGAAAGAAAGAGCCCCATGGATGAAGTCCATACTGCTGTCTCTTTGAAATGGAAGTGAAGTGTATTCCATCTGGGCTGAAAAAATCCAAACTTTGTCTTTTCTCTCTACTGTTGTGTCCAAATATTCTGAAACAGAGATTATTCTGAAAAGAGCCATAACCTGGTTTTCACAATATACAATCACAACACTAGATATGCTTGTCATAACAACTTTGTATATTTGAAGAAAATTATCCATTTTTTCTCCCAAATCATTTGAAAAAGTTATTGTTGAAAACTCTTCAATGTAATCGAAACATATTCCATTCTGGGAAAATATGACAAGCACTTCTCTGATAAATCTTTCAGCAATCTCATTTTGTTGAAAAAGCATCCCAATCCAGGACCACTTAAAATGAAGCAGCAACTGGAGAATCCCCATAATTTGAAGATGTTCATTTGGAAACATTTGATAAAAGAGAGCTGTATGAATCCTGTTATCCGTCACTGGAGCAGAGCCATATGTAACCTTAGGAAATAAAGAAATGCAAAGTATAGGCATATGTTTTTCATATAAATGATAAATGAATTAAATCTGACTGATCCATATTGTTGGTTTGATTTTCAGAAATTATTCATACCTCATTAAGAATTGTCTTTTAATTTCTATGAAAATAATTAAAATAAATCCATTCTTTTTTAAATATCAACCACATTCAATGTGGGTGGAATGAATTAGGTTTGGGAGAAGAATAAAATTATAAAAAGCCAGTTTGTATGGTGCTAGTTTAGTCTAAACTAAACTTGATTTCAGAATTAATGTAGTATAGTTATTTCTTTTTTACCTCTAATAAGGTATTTCAGATTGTCAAAAAACTGGTTTTCATCCAGTTTGGGTAGGGTTAATTGAACATTTTGAACAATTTAGTATTAAGTTCTCTGTGAAGTTTCACCTCACATAGCTGGTTATGATGGGCACAACCCTGCTGCATATTTATCCAGAAAAAAATGGGCTTACACAGTAAATGGGTAGAAAAATATTTCATTGGAAGAATTTGATTATCAGAGTAACTTCTCATTAAGGTTTTGTAACCCCAAAGATCCATTAGGTAGTAATTTAACAATAATGTCTTAATGCACTATTTTGTTATACCTTTTTCTAAAAGTGCAGGTTGAAGGACAAAAAATTGACAAAAAAGCATCATCATTTTGAATGAGTTTTTCCAATTTGATTAGATTATTTTTTTATTTTAGAACCATAAGCCTCCCTCCCTCCCCTTCTTTCTTTTCTTAGTAAGAATATGAATGCAGCTATATTCTTGTAGATAGAAATGCTGGGGCATAAGTCATGGAATGAATACATTGTTTAAAGCAATCATATTTTGTCATGGAAGAAAGTATTCTGACTGAGATTATTGGTAATAAAACTACCTATATTAGATTATTACTACTTATCAAGCAGAGAAATTTGTCATGTAAGTAATACTTCTGAATAATTGTAATTGCCTTCTAAGTTCCAATCATCTTCTCATTTAAGCTCCTACTCCATAATCCAGTGAAGGAAAGAGAAAAATGAACCAAGAAAAACCACCTAGCCTCAATAGAACAAACATTTCCATAATTGTCTGCAGACAAACCAAAATGCTATTTTAAATCATTTGTAGGAACAAATCACTATTCAGTCATATATTCTTTTTTATTATAAGTACACCACTTTCATCTTCAAAATATATAAAACATTACAATTTCTTGTTATTTTAGTTTTGTTATTACCTTAATTGGTTTGGAAATTTCATGGAAATCAACAGGAAATTATTTCAAATTAAAAGAAAAATCTCTCTTAAGACCAAGAGGATTCATCTTTTTTTCTTTTCTTTTCTTTTTTTCCAATTTGAGACAAGATCCTCAAAATCAGCATAATTTTCATTAAATCAGGACAGGAAAAATGTTAAAGTATTGTGTAGCCTGAAGTTATATGTCTACTGATTGACATTAGTTTACAACCAATCCAATAAATTCCATTAAAAAGAATAGGAGTTTTGCTTTTTTCTTGAGCAGGTCCTACCTGTGGAATCTTGTAAATACTCAGGATATCTGCCATAGCCTGAAAGAGTTCAGAGTTTGGCCCGGCAATAACACATGCTAAGTTTTGGTGGATGCTGGCTTTGTAGTTGGGAACAAATTTGTCATGTGAAGAAAGAAGCTCCATAGAAGCAAGGTAAGTCCATGTTGCCGTGAAATAGTTGTTATATATCCCAAAGCCCAGAGTGATGTTTGGCAGGATCTGAGGATTTTCATCGATCTCCTTTACAGCAAATACCAAGGACAAGATATGCAAATAGTTCTGTAGAAACAAACTACAAGGGAGGGTACTGCCTCTGTCACAATATTTATATTTCCAAACAAAGAATTTGTTACATTTTAATTTAATAATCTTTGTTAATAGCAAGATTCAAATTAGAATCCATGATCCCAAGGATAGTCTATAGAAAATACCTGTCCTCACTGTTCCATAAATTTGAATATAGAATAAGCTACTTGGAGGACAACCTGTTTGATATCCATTTCTTTGAATACTTAAATTATCCCTTTTACAATGTTTTTCTAGTATTGGGATATTTCTATCTCATTTTGAAAGATCAAATTTTGTATATTGAGCCACATTAGGAATGGTAATATGTAAAAGCTGGAAAGGAAACATTTTTAGCACCTAAGAAATCCTTTCTTTGATTTCAAAGTTATTTGACTAGGAAAAAAAATAATATAGATGAGTTAGACTGCAAAACTACCCAAGCTAAATTCAGTGGAAGATGCAAAATTCTTCCTACATATGAAGAAAAGGCAATGTGCTTAGATTTTTTTTTTAATATTACCATAAACCACAGAACTGTTCTCAGTTGAAAACAAGTTGGTTAGGCCACTGTTATATCTACTCTGAATTCCAGCCATACTCAATAGATTTTTTTAAAAAGTGACATGGAACGTCTGCATGTACTTAGTCTCAGAAATAAAATAATTAACTTTAGGTTTAGCTCACAGAAATGTCTGTTCCTTGCAGGATGTGATCTGATCAGTTACAGGCATACAGATGTATGCTGGAATTGGTGTGCCATGGAAGTTTGGGCAGAAACATTAGGAAACCAGAAAGAGTGCTTCAGATTTCTTTCTTTCTTTCTTTCTTTCTTTCTTTCTTTCTTTCTTTCTTTCTTTCTTTCTCATTTATATGTATACATTTGAACTAGAATGTAATGTTTCTCTGTGTCATATATGTGTGTCTATGTGGGTATATGCATAATGATATTTTTTTCAGAGCTGAATGCAACAAAATTTTATTTTAATTTATGCTGATTAGTGTACATTTAAAGTGACAATATTCTATTCTATTCTATTCTATTCTATTCTATTCTATTCTATTCTATTCTATTTTAAAGAAATAAAATAGAATCTGTGAGCAGAGGAACTACAAGTGAGAGGAGATAAAAGTTATATTTCAATCATGTATGGCCTCCCTAAAATACATTAACTAGTTATCCAGTCAGATTTGCGAACTGATATAATAAAAAATGACAGCTACATACAAGGGATCATCAATAAGTTCTTCAGATGGAATTCTTTTGAAGGTGATTAGGTTAGACATCAAGTAGATCAGAGAAATAACACCACCAATGATGAGATCACCTGAATGGTAAGACTTGTATTTAACAGTTGGATTGTCGATGGTACATTTAGCATCATGGAACATGATCTGAAGAATGTATTTTATCACCCACAGTTTGAAGAGTAAGACTCCAAATCATAAATGTGTATTGCACAAATGATTGTTGATATGGCTTCTGAATATAGGGCAGTCTAACACTTTGCTTCTTTCTCTTGGATAATCTGAATGAAGAACTACAGTATATAAGAAAAACAAACTCATACAGTGTTGCTCTTTATGCATTGTATTTGAATATGTTTAGGAATGAAGAATATTAATAACATCAGTCAGTCTGGGTTGGCTTCCTATTTTGCTCTGCTCTTTGGAACTCCTTAGAGAACAGAGGAGTAGAATTAAATATGGTCAATTATGGGACACAGCATATTTTGCTTTTCTGATATAACAGGATAAAATAATAAGGTTGGAGTAAATGATTGGTGACTTTTTGCATAGCAGCAACAGAAAAGCAGATTGCAATGGAAGGAAAAGAAGACAAAGGAAACCAAATAAATAATATAATATATGAAAAAGTACAGGTTCATCAGGTTTGTACTGGTATGACGGTATGACACAGAAGTCAGGTTTGCCCTTGGAGGAGGTTTTACCAATGAGGAAACAATGTTAAACGAAAAAGCTTCATTATTTGTCAGAAAACATCCATGGCTTTAGATCACCAAGAGTGTGTTACTCTTCTCTGGCCATCAGTCCTTGAAATATCATTAAATGGCTTCAGTTTAGAAAATTTATAGTCAGTTTTGATGTTATGGTTTATTGAATCAACCTTGACTTGTTGTACTTGCAAGAACAAGTCCTTGGATTTTCCTTGACACTTCCAAAACTGCTTTGCCATTCTCTTGTTCTTATGGCCAAGAGAGAATGACTGGCTCAAAGGTATTCAGGTGACTTTTTTCTCAAACACATGTGTAGCTTGTAACCCATGGTCCAAGGCTATGAGAGACTGGATAACAGAAAAAAAAAATGAAAGTCAAGCTAAGAAGATATGACTCGGTGTTTATTCTCTCTGCTACAAACTGAATTTTGAATGAGATTGTCCCAAAGATGCTTTTTCAGAGGCAACCGGACGTTCTTGTTTTTTTTTTTTAAGATGTTTTGCTTCTCATCCAAGAAGCTTCTTCAACTCTGACTGGATGGTGGGAATGGAAGGATTCCCTCTCTCAACAGAGGGGGAGGGATATGATATCATTTATCTACAGTCTACAACACAGTTCTTTCAATAGTTCCAAGAAGGCTCCACATCCTTTTGCACCACTCAGGTGACCCTGATGACACCAATAAACCTCTGGATGGCCTAAATAACTCTCTAAAAGAATGCAAATGACCAGCTGTCTGCAAGGAGTATAAATCCTTGCATTCCCCACCATCCAGTCAGATCTGAAGAAGCTTCTTGGATGAGAAGCAAAACTTCTTTAAAGAAAAGCAAGAAAGTCCAGTTTTCCTGTGAAAAAGCATCTTTGGGACAGCTATGATCTGGATGACAGAGAATCTCCATAGACCTGAGTGAGATTACATTTCTATTGAGGTTATGATTGTCTAAGTTGAGACTTCTCTTGGACTCCTGACTACTGAAGTCTTGTGTGCTTCTCTCAGATGGAGAACCTCAAGACTTCCCAGATTTGGAAGGTTAAATATATTTAACCTTCAGGTTATCAATATATTTTTCAGGTCATCAATATATTTTTCAGAAACAATGTACAGATAGTCCTCGAGTTAGGAGTGTAATGGAAACTGCCCATTCCACTCATAACTCGAAAACTCATAGAGTGAATCTCATTCCTTTAATGAGATCACTCTCTTGCTTGTTAAAATGCACGTGGCTCGTTAAGTAAACATGAGGTATCTGAGGGTGGGGAAGGCCATGGAGTGCCTAGTGATGGAACACACCCCCAAGGCTTCCCCGATCCACTAAGATACCTCATGCTTCCCTCTCCCTTCCTGCCATGCAGGACTCACCTGGAAAAGGTCTGTCTCCTCTCTGCCGAGGTTCCTGCTGCTGGAGAAACTAGATCAAGATTGGATCAATGGCCACGGAACAATTTTGTGCCCCATCCCCATGGCTGATCCTGGCTCTGGAGGCCTGTAAAAGTCTCTGGAGTTGAGATCTATGCCTGCGGAGTGATTTTTCACCCCCCTGTGGCCCAACCCAGCCTCTGGAGTCCAGATCGGGCCATTGAGGGCTTGCAAAATCGCTCCATGGCCATGAGTCCAGACACCAGAAGCTTGGAAAAAGCCCCCAGAGCCCAGATCAGGCTGTTGAGGGGACCGCAAAATCGTTCCGTGGCCATGGATCTGGTCTCCAGAGACTGGAAAAGGCCTCCAGAGCCCGGATAGGGCCACAGTGGTGTGTGGAATTTCTCTGCAACCCTAGATCTTTGCTCCGGAGGTCTTTTTCAGATCTCCAGAGCCTGGATTGGGCTGCTGAGGGGCCATTGTTCTGGGCTCTGTAGACTTGGAATCCAGGCTCCAGAGGGTTGGAAAAGGCCTCCCCAGCCCATATCGGCCATGAGGGGGGGCGCAAAATCACTTTGTGGCCATGAATCTGAGTTCCGGAGGCCTGAAAAAGACCTCCAGAGCCGAGATCTAAAATGGATTTTGGACTTCCCGCGATTAAGCGTGCGTCCTCTCCTTGCTTGTCGCCCCTACAGGTCCACTCTCGACCCTTTCCAGGGTTCCCCAGCGGAGCAAAACCGAACGCGGAAGACGGAGCTTACCTTCCAGCGTCTGCGGTGGCCGTGATGGGATAATGGGATAGTCCTTCCAAAAAATGGCAACTAAATGGTCTCCCTTATTTCAAATAACATATATAATAATAGGGGGAGATCTATATGATGATCTGAAAGCACTGATATGGAAGGCTAGTTGGCATAGGAAGAAAACCAGAATAAGGCTGAAGAAAATTGGGTTTTTGATTTATTAGAGAGGATTTCATATTATTAATTAGAGGATTAATGGAAAAGTTGAAATAAGGGGAATTTTGGTCATTAGATTTAAAATATTTGGAAATTAGTTGAAAATAAGGGTTTTATCTGTTTAATATTTAAAAATTAGACCTAAAAATATTATGAATATGTTTGATTTATTGATTAATCCAGACAAAATATATAATGGTTTTGATTCATTAAAGGGGATATTGTAATATTAAGTAGATGATTTAATATGGTGGGAATTAGATAACTTTGAGGAAATAGAACAAGACTATATCCAAATAGATAAAATGTTTATTTTGAATCTTAGATTCTGTTATGAATTGAGATAAGGGAAATTTTGGTTACCTAAAGCCTGAAAATTATAAATATCAAATATTAAATTGGAATATTGATGGGAAATTAAAAATTGGTAAAAAATTAATAACAGGATATGGATTGTTTATGAAGTTTGAATGTAAAAAGTAATTAAGATATGTATAAGCTAAACATTTATTGATAAATGTAATAATGATGTTTTTACTGAGTTGATATAATAAGAACTGTATTAGCTTAAATATGAGACAGTAGATGTTAAGGGAAAAAGAGAAGAAATATTTGATGTTGTAACTTGAGATTTGTACTAAAGATTTTTATTTGTTATAGAACTATTGATTAACCCAGCCACCACATTGCTTTTTAAATACTTAAATGTAAAATTGGAAAATTAATAAAATATTATTTTTTAAAAAAGACCTCCAGAGCCGAGATCTATGGCTGTGGAATAATAATAATAATAATAATAATAATAATAGTAAAGTAGTAATAGTAGAATGATTTTTGCCCCCCCCCCAGCGGCCCGATCTGGGTTCCGTAGGCCTACAAAAGGCCTCTGGAGCCCAGATTGGGCTGCTGGGGGGCTTCAAAATCACTCTGCGGCCATGGATCTGGGCTCCAGAGGCTTGGGAAAGACCTCCAAAGCTGAGATCTATGGCCACAGAGCGATTTTCAGGCCCCCAGCAGTCCAATCTGGGTTCCGCAGACCTACAAAAGGCCTCCGGAGCCCAGATCAGGCACTGGGGGGCTGCAAAATCGCTCTGCGGCCATGGATCTGGGCTCCGGAGGCTTGGGAAAGACCTCCAAAGCCAAGATCTATGGCCACAGAGCAATTTTTGGGCCCCCAGCGGACCGATCTGGGATCTGGAGGCTTGGAAAAGGCCTCCAGAGCCCAGATCAGGCTGCTGGGGGGCTGCAAAACCACTCCACAGCCATGGATCTGGGATCCGTAGCCTTGAAAAAGGCCTCCAGAGGCTTGGAAAAGGCCTCTGGAGGCTTGGAAAGGGCCTCCGGAACCCAGATCGGGCCGCTGGGGGGTGCAGAATCTCTCTGCGGCCATGGATCCGGTCTCCAGAGGCTTGGAAAAGGCCTCCGGAGCCTGGATTGGGCTGCTGGGGGGGCTGCAAAATCACTTCTTGGCAATGGATCCAGGCTCTGGAGGCTTGGAAAAGGCCTATGGATCCCAGATCAGGCTACGGGGGGGGGGGCACCGAATCTCTCGGCGGCCATAGATCTGTGCTTCGGAGGCTTGGAAAAAGCCTGCAGAGCCCAGATTGGGGCACTGGGCCCCCACAAAATCACTCTGTGGCCATGGATCTGGGCTCCAGAGCCTTGGAAAGGGGCTCCAGAGGCTTGGAAAAGGCCTCCAGAGCCCGGATTGGGCTACTGGGGCCCCCTGCAAAATCGCTCTGTAGCTATGGAACCGGTCTCCAGAAGTTTGGAAAAGGCCTCTGGAGCTCGGATCGGTCCGCAGGGGGTTGCAGAATCTCTCTGCGGCCATAGATCTGTACTCTAGAGGCTCTGAAAAGGACTCCAGAGCCTGGATCAGGCTGTGGGGAGACCACAAAATCGCTCCATTGCCATAGATCCTGTCTCTAGAGTTCTTTTCCAGGCTTCCGGAGCCTGGATTGGGCAGCTGGGAGGTGTGCAAAATTGCTCCACGGCTATGGATCCGGGCTCCAGAGGCTTGGCAAAGACCTCCGGAGCCAAGATCTATGGCCACAGAGCGATTTTTGGGCCCCCAGCAGACTGATCTGGGCTCCAGAGGCTCTGGGCCACTGGGGGGGGCATAGAATATCTCCGGGGCCACAGATCCGGTTTCTGGTGGCTTGGAAAAGGCCTTCAGAGCGCAGATTGGGCTGCTGGGGGGGAAAATCACTCCATAGTTATGGATCCGGTCTACAGAGGCTTGGAAAAGGCCTCCGGAGCCCGGATCAGGCCACTGGCCCCCCCTGCAAAATTGCTCTGTGACCATGGATCCAAGCTCTGGAGGCTTGGAAAAGGCCTCCCGAGCCCAGATTGGACTGTGGGGGGGGAATCACTCCGCTGCCATACATCTGGGCTCCAGAGGCTTGGAAAAGGCTTCAGGAGTTTGGATTGGGCCGCTGGGGTACTGCAAAATTGTTCCACGGCCATGGATCTGGGCTCTGGAGGCTGGGGAAAGGTCTCCAGAGGCTTGGAAAAGACCTCCAGAGGCTTTGAAAAGGCCTCAGGAGCCCAGATCAGCTGCAGGGGAGGGGGCAAAATCATTCTGCAGCCATAGATCCAGGTGGCAGAGATCTTTTCCAGGCCTCTGGAGCCCAGATCTGGGGGTTTGCAAAATCACTCTCCAGCCATAGATCTGGGCGGCAGAGGTCTTTTCCAGGCCTCCAGAGCCTGGATCGGCTGTGGGGGGAGGCGCAAAATTGCTCTGTGGCCATAGATCCGGGTGGCAGAGGCCTTTTCCAGGCATATGGAGCCCTGATCCAGATTCCGGAGGCAAATTGAAGCGTCCCCCAGCTTTGGTTTGGTTCTCTGTTGCAGAGAATAGAGGCCTAAAGAACCATGAGATCACACGAGATCAGTAGTGTGAGATCTTGCTCCACTCATCTCGCATCATCTTCCATTATTTTAGGACTCTGCAAACACATCAAAGGCCTGGAGCAGCCAAGAAAACAAAGATTCTCCATCTTTGCAGGGTGAGTACTAAAGGCCTGGTGCCTAGGGAGACCCATGGCGGGGAGGGAGGGAATATCCAGGGTGAGTGTTGCAGAGCCACTGCAGTCGCTCGTAAGGACGAATAACTGCTGTGGTGCTGCAATACTTGTAATTTCAGGAGTTGTTCATAAGCACTAGAGGGCGCTCATCATGTAACTTTGAGCAAGCGTTAAGTGAACGCTCGTAACTTGGGGATTACCTGTATAGAAAATCAAGTGATCAATCTGAAGTCATGGGCAAGAAAATAAATAATTAAAATTGGATCAGTCAGAGAATCAAATTTGGAAAGGGTTGACAAGCTATATGACTCCTTTTTTCTAAATTGTAGGAAATGGTGGATAAATTGTTAATTCGTCTAAATTGAGAAAGTGAGAAAGTTTCAGTATTCAAAGAGGCACATTTCTTCTCAGGCAGTGCCCAAATTGTTCCCAGTGCTTTACTTGCAAATAAGGAAGGCTGCTTTTTTTCTCTTCAGAGAAAAAATTAGCTAAAAACTCAGATATGCCCATTATTTAAAGTTGCGCGCGCGCGCACGCACACACACACACACAAACACACACACACACACATTTCATTAGGTATCTGATGTTGGGAGTCATAAAAAACCTAGAACCAATAAATCTCATCCTACAGTAGTCAAAATGAAAAATCATAAATTCTCTGGAAGGGCCACAGTTGGCAGAGTTTGCCTCTAGAATATGGTCAGTGTGGTGAAACACTTTAAGGCACATTACAGGGTTTTGAAAGTCATCATCTACAATTTCTTCCTGGGTGAATTGGTGATAGTCACCACCACCAACATAGTTTACATATTTTCAGTTATTTTAACCAGCTTGCTTTCATTAGGATCACCACATTCATACTTTTAAATATCTGACCAGCTCGGGAAAAGTTTTACATATAGCACAACTTCTCTTGTTTGTGGATTAATGGTATTTTTAAGTACTATATTCCAATCAGAAGGGTCATCCCATCAAATCTCCCTAAAATTTATGCTTCCTATATTAGTAAGTACTCAAGTGCTTGAGTACATTTTCCACACTCTTAGTATCAGTGTAGATATATTTTGGGATTGAGGGGAAAAGCAAGAAAAAGGAAGTAGGGCATTATTTATTCCCCACCTCTGAAATGCTAGTTTGAAAACTGAGCAGTTAGGACTAGAAGTCAGATTTTTCAGCAAACTTTTTTTTTCTATATTGAATGTTTGGGAAAAACTATAATTTGCTCAACCAGAAATATACTATATGGCTGTTCCTATGTTTTTAAAAGAAAATAATATTCATTGCTCATATAAATAATGGGGTTGCCTTTCTGATGAAGTGCATATATTGTTCTTCATTACTTTGAGAAAAAAAGGACTAATTCTGAACAAATTTAACAAACAGAAAGAAGCTCTGGAGTAATAAGCTTAGTAAATAAATATAAACAAAAAGATTTCACATTTGTTTCTTTATTAGCTGCTCCTTTCTGTTCAAATCAGGCCTTAGAACAATAACATAGCATTTGGGGGAAAAGATGCAGCCCAGTAATCCAACTGCAGATGTCAAAATTGAGAAGACCTCCACAGCTACCATGTATTTTCCCTTACTGCTCAGATAGGTGGGAACAAAGGATATCCAGACACTACAAAAGACCAACATACTGAAGGTGATAAATTTAGCTTCATTAAAGCTATCAGGTAACTTCCTGGCTAGGAAGGCTACCGTGAAGCTGATGGCCGCCAAGAACCCCATAAAGCCAAGGACAGTGTAAAACATGATGGCTGAACCTTCATTACATTCCAGGATAATTTCTTCAACCATGGAATGCATGTCTGAATCTGGGAATGGGGGAGAAATTGCCAGCCACACACTACAAATAGTGACTTGTATCAGGGAGCAAGACAGGACAATAGTGCTGGCCAGCCTTTTCCCTACCCATTTCCTCATTTTGGAGCCTGGCTTGGTGGCCATAAAAGCAAGGACCACTATGGTTGTTTTGCCCAATATACAAGAAAGGGCTATAGAGAATATGATGCCAAAAGAAGTTTGTCTCATGAGACATTTTACTTGATCAGGTTGTCCAAAGAAAAGCAAAGTGCAAAGGAAAGAGAGGAAGAGAGCAATGAGAAGAGTATAGGTGAGGTTCCGGTTATTGGCTTTTACAATTGGAGTGTCCTGATTTTTAATGAAGATCCCCAGTACCACAACTGAGATGAAAGAAAAAAAGAAAGCAGCACTAGTCAAAGTGATTCCTAAGGGTTCTTTGTAAGACAAGAAGGTTGTATGTTTTTGAATGCACAGATCCTGATTCTTATTAGGGTAGTTTTCTTTAGGACATGGGATACAGTCATCTAAATCTGGAAGAGAAATAGAGTTGTCAAGCATTCAAAGTTAGATAAGCCATCCCCAACTTTCAGAAATATAATATTTGAATGCTTGGAATTTCCAGGTATTCATCACAAAAGCTGACAATTTGAAATTTAACTTATCTAGAAAGTTATAAGCAAGAAAATCTTTAAATCCAATTTGTCTGATAACAGATCCTTTGAAATCAGATTACTCCTTCAGATATAATTTCGTTCTATTTATACATTTGAAATGGGATTGTGTCTTCCATTTACTCTATTGCTTTAGGGAAAACACACCGGGATAGTACAATATAGCAACAATGTTTATAAGAATATCAAAGAACATTTTTTCAAAAGTTTTGCTTTTGATGCATTTGGTGGAATTTGGTGATTATCATAGACCCCTTCAAATGAACACAAATATAATTTCAGGATGAGTATATGATGTAGGAAATGTGAAATTAGCTTTTAATGACTATAATGTATTTGATTCCATAAAGTTTGCAACATGTTGCATTAATTTAACAGAGGCAGCTCTTTTGCTGCTGATGTTTATTTATACTCATTGTCCAGTGCAGTGTCCAAAAATCATCAACCAATATTGTTGGATTTCAGTAACCCTAATACTGTTTTTCCATTGTGGCAATGTCCATTTTTGATTAAGAAGTTGGAGTGTGAATGTAGAATATGAATCTTCAGTGACATGTTGCACTTTGTGATATTGTGTACTGTAAGAAGTTTGTCAACCAGCTGAATGTAGTTTTTATGCTCTATTGTTACCAAGAATAATTCTCAATGAGATCCTTGAAAGCTTTCTTGGGGATTCTATGGCCCCTATATCTTCGAACTGCTTGTGATTGATGATGTAAAATCATGGAATTTGCCAAATTATACATAGCCATTTGAGAGATAGATAGATAGATAGATAGATAGATAGATAGATAGATAGAGAGAGAGAGAGAGAGAGAGAGAGAGATATCAAATTTTATCGACTCTGCCTGATAAACCAAACAGAAAAAAACAACTAGGTGAGCTACATTGTAACAAGACTACATTAAAAGAATGATGCAAGTCCAAAAGTACAAAACTTTTTTCTGCCACTTTCAACTCGTCCATTAAGGCAGGTCCTTTTTAGGTTTTCTGTCTCTTAAATCACTGGGGGCAGCATCTCTTCCGCTCTTTCCCCAAGGGCAATGCCACATTCCTTTACAAAACGCCTTGCATGGCTTCTCTTACCTGTCTGGTTGGCAATTTTTCCTTTGGGGCAACCAAGGCATTTGTAACAGCAAAATGGCTTCCCTTCTATTTTGACTTTGCTGTAACCCAAGGAGCAATGAGCATTACACAAAGAAAGAGGTTGTTTCTATTGATAAATGAAAGTGGAATGCATTTAGAATTTAAACAATTTCACTCTAGAAACCATCAACTTTGATGTATATTTTCTTTCTTTTTTTAATCAGAGTTATGAAACATTCTATGCTAGCATGCAAGGCTTATTTTATTCTTTAAAATATTGTCCTGGCATAATGAGTCATATAAATGAAAAATCTCTTATTCATGTGATAGATCTCAAATATTAGGTCTAATATTTGATAGAGATAGAGATACATTGAGTTAGTTTTTCTTTTACAAAATCCTATTCAAAGTTACTGTATGTACCTGAAGAATATAGTTTTGCTTGTGCTGGATTCATTAATTTGCACAGCTGTTCAAAGATGCATGAGTACTGAACTATCCCTTGAAAAATGAATAATAGATACCTGGTTAAAAAGATTGGGCCAAACAATGTTATCTGCTGCCACAGAGAGAGAATTTTCTAGTTGAGATGATGGATTTACTTTTCCAACTTTCATCCTAAGAAAGGATTGATTTGAGAAAATGACCCAGTTGACAATATCAAAGCCAGTTGCAACCTTCCCATTCTGGTCAAAGAAAATGTTTTCTCCAGCATTGTTGTTAAATGAAACTTTTCTCAGATAGTGATGAAGCTCAAGAGAAGAACACAACAGTAATTAATAAAGATATGGAAGAACAGCAAAAAACGTTCAGCAATATGATTTTAAAAGAAATTTTTTGCTCCTTACTTAAAATAGGATTAATTTGTCACTTTCATTAACAGCATCCAAAACAGTCATGAAAAGGGATAGATCAATTTTAAGGGTGCCTAACATTTTTACACCTGCCACTATTCCCAACAGCATGTCTTCCTCCTCCTCCTCCTTAATGTTATTTGGCATTTGTGCACAGCTTTTTCTATCTCCTTCCTTATCATTGTCTTCTCCCTGTGTTGTCATTTTTATTCTCGGTGCCTAAGGCCATCACATCTGATGTGTTCTTCACTGTCATAGTTATGTATCCTTCTTTAAAGCACAAAGCTTTCAAGATTCTGTGCTTTATGTTGAGAGAGAAAGTGGATGCTGTTTTTTTCCTTATAAATGCTTCTTTTGAGGTGTATAAAGGCATTTTCAGGCACAGTCTGGAATCCTGTTTCATATTTTCAGTATGACAATTTTAATACAGTGATTTTTAAAATCTGTATTAACCTTAATTAGATCGTATCATAGAAAACCATGCTATTCAAATCTCACAGATTGTGCACTTCCAATTCTAAGATTCCTTTATTTCTGAAGATATTGTTGTGCTATCTACTTATAATAATAGTAGTAGTGGTGGTAATAGTAATTTGTCAGTCCCATTAACCTCATCCAGATTAGTCATCAAAATAGTCTAACAGCCCTCTTTTCATGGCTATCTCCTAAAAGTAGATGCCACCACCACATTTTATTAGTATAATTTGCCAACCACATCAACTTCTTCTAGTTTCTTCCTCATCATCATGTCCTCATTGTTGTAATGTTCATTCTCAGTGCCTAAAGCCACCAGCATTCATGCTGTTCTTCTCTGTCATAATTATGCAACCATCTTTAAAGGACCAAATTCTCTACTATATGTGTTCAAAGAAAAAGTGAATATATATTTCTCCAGGGGAAAAAGAGCTTCTCCCACCATCCCATCACCAAGAAGTATTAGCAATATCACTAGTGAGAAAGCTCCATGGAAGATATTTCCTTTTAGGGCTTTTACTTTACAGTTTAATTAACAAATGACATGGAGGAGGTGACATAATAGTTGCACATTCAGTTTGATCATCAGATGATTAACATTGTTGCAAATCAGAACTGGTACCATTTCTTGTTTGCAAAAATGCTTTAGTTAACTGATCAAAGTAATTTGTTATTCTAAATTAAGAATATATTCTTAATATTTTTATATTAAGAATATAAAATATTAACAATATAGAAAGTCCACATAAAATATGATAAAAATTAATCTAAATATCTGGAACATAAAGAAACAATGTGGGGAAATCATACATTTGGTGTAGGAAGGGGTATGGACATTCTGATCCATCTCTTATATTTAAATAAGTTTCAGTATTCATCATGAGCATTTGTAGATATGGAAGCAAAATCATCTGTTAGACCAATAAATGTAGGAGCTTACTTGCCACACCTGATGATGAAAAAGCTTCTGTTTCCCTCTAGTAGCTATTGCTCTGTGTTTGGAGTGGGATGTAATCATGGCTTGGAGAGCATGTGCCACAGCATAGACTGCATTGTAGATACTGTAGCTTTGCCCAGTCATGCTCAGTTCAAAAACAGAATCTGAAATTGTCTCCAGCTTCTCTTCCCCAGTACATCTTTTCTCTGGCTTCAAAGTGGAATTTGAGAAGGAACATCCAAATATTTGCTCCCAAAAGACCCTTGAAAGACTGTCTTCCTTTTCTGGAACACCATTTGTCATCTGAGGACATGATTTGAATCCTAATATTTTTTTTGAAGAAACTGAGAAAGAAAGAGCACCATGGATGAAGTCTATACTACTGTCTCTTTGAAATGGAACTGAAGTGTATTCCATCTGGGCTGAAAAAATCCAAACTTTGTTTTTTGTCTCCACTGTTGTTTCCAAATGTTCTGAAATAGAGAAGATCATTCTGAAAAGAGCCATAACCTGGTTTTCACAATATACAATCACAACACTAGAAATACTTGTCATAATGACATTGTACATTTGAAGAAAATTATCCATTTTTTCTCCCAGATCACTTGAAAAAGCTTCTAGCACAAGCTCTTCAGTATAATCAAAGCAGATTCCCTTTTCAGAAAATATGAAAAGCACTTCTAGCAGAAATCTTTGACCAATCTCATTTTCTTGACAAATAAGCCCAATCCAGGACCACTTAAAATACAGCAGCAGCTGGAGGATCCCCATAATTTGAAGTTGTTCATTTGGGAACATCTGATGATAAAAAGCTGTTTGAATCATATTGTTGATCACTGGAGCAGAGCCATATGTGAGCTAAGGATAAAAAGGAAACAGAAAAGAGAATGTATTCATACAAATTGATAATGATATGAGAACAATCTTGAGAGACAGAAGTAAGTGATGTAGACTAGACAGCTCTCATGCAAATGTTAACTCAGTCTACAGGAGAAGAGGAGCCATAGGAAGACTTTTAGAAGGGATATTCATTGTTCTGCTTCTTCTCTAGAGTACATTGAAGGGTGAATATCAATCTTACAGGTCTGTAAGTAATGTTCCTCTCCTCTCCTTTTACTTTCTTAGAAAGTAGGGAAAGTCTTTGTGAAATGTTTTCCACACCCCTTTTCTTTCTATGGGCTGAGATACCTTTTACATAATGGTTGTCTTTTTTGTGGTTCTTCCTTTTGACTCCTGAGATCATTTGCACATACCATTTTAATATTTTTTTTTATAATTTTTCAATGATAAGCCTGACTAACTCTTATTGATTTTCATGGGTTTTTCATATTCAACAAGGGTCTTTCTTTAAGTTCTGTGAAGTTAATGATACCGCACAGTCACAGATTTTGTAATATTGCCAAGAAACTCATCATATTTAAAAGATAACATTCTTCTAAAAATACAAGTTCAAGAATAGAAATTTGATAACAAGTATCATTATTATGAGGGATGAGTACCAACTGGGTATGATAAACTTTCATTTGTGGAGCCATAGAGCATAGCGTTAGAAGGAAACTTGGCCATGTTTCCAGCAGGAATCCTCACACTATCCCTGACAGATAATCTTACTAGCTTTTCTTGAAGATCTCCAGTGATAGAACCCCAATAATTCCATAAGGCAGAGTATATCATTGCTTAAGAGTTCTCTAGGAAATATTTCAAATTGAAAGAAAAATCTCTAAATGCTAAGAGGTTTCTTCTCATTTCTTTTTTTTTTAAAAATAGAGACAATATAGTTTTTTTTTCTGAAACTCTTGCAACCTTTTCAGTAAATTAGGACTGAATACATGTAAGTGTTGTCCAGTCAGATTTTAGTTATCTTCTAATTGCCACTACTTACAACCTTCCTCCCCCAAAATGTCATTAAAGAGGAGGTCAAATATCAATAGGAGTTATATTTTTTCTTGAGCAGGTCTTACCTGTGGAATCTTATATATGCTCAGGATGTCAGCCATAACCTGAGAGATATGAGAGTTGGGTCCAGCAATAACACAAACTGAATTTTGATGGAGGCTGCATTTATAGTTTGGAACAAATTTGTCATGTGAAGAAAGAAGCTCCATAGAAGCAAGGTATGTCCATGTTGCCATGAAATAGCTGTTAGATATCCCAAAGCCCAGAGTGATATTTGGCAAGATTTGAGGATTTTTGTTGATCTCCGTTACAGCAAAGATCAAGGACAAGATATGCTGATATGTCTGTAGAAACATACTTCAAGGGAGAGTAATGCCTCTGTCACAATATTTGCATTTCAACACAGAGAAGATTTTAAAATAAAGTATAAGTTTGCACCTCAAAGAAAAATAGTGTATAGAAAATCCTTAACAGAATAACAGAGTTGGAAGGGACCTTGGAGTTGTAGATTGGATCTCTCCTCACTATTTCATAATTTCAATGCAGAATTAGATATTTGGAAGATAACCTCCTTATAGTATTTTATAATTCCATATTTCTACCTCATTTTGAAAGGTTTAATGTTATAAATTGAACCATGTTAGACATAACAATATCTAAAACATGGGGGGGGGGGAATGAATATCCAGCTCCTAAGATTTCCTCTCTTTGTTGTCAAGAGGATTTGACTAGGAAAAAAGCTGATGGTTTGTGGATATGCTATGCAGGAACTGGTATATCATGCTGGTTTAGGACAGATTTCTACCTCTGTATTTTTATCTCATTTTGAAAGATGAAGTACTCTATATTGAACCATGTTGAAAGTGTCAGTGTCCAAAATCTAGAAATGAAACATTTTCAGCTCCTAAGGAAGGAAGGAAGGAAGGAAGGAAGGAAGGAAGGAAGGAAGGAAGGAAGGAAGGAAGGGAGAGAGAGAGGGAGGGAGGGAGGGAGGGAGGGGGAAGGAGGGAGGGAAGGAAGGAAGGAAGGAAAGAAAGAAAGAAAGAAAGAAAGAGGGAGGGAGGGAGGGAGGGAGGGAAGGAGGGTAATGTCATGGGTATTTGATAAGAGAAAAATAATTACATAGATGAGTTTGACTGCAAAATTATCAAGGCACAATTTAGTGGAAAATGCAATGTTCTTTCTACATTTTAAGTAAAAGGCAAACTGTTGTGTTTCTGTGTTAATACTTTCCATGAGGTCACATTGAAAAGGATTCTGCCTCTCTCAGAGATGCTTTTTCAAAAGGCAACTGGACTTTCTTTCTTTGTTTTTCCTTGAAGACATTTTGCTTCTCATCCAAAAAGCTTTATCAGTTCTGACAGGATGGTGGGGGAGATGAAAGGGGAGATGGAAGGCCTTCTGTCTCCTCACCATCTGCCAGAACCTATGAAGTTTATTGGATGAGAAGTGAAACATCTTCAAGGAAAAACAAAGTAAGAATTCCACCTTCCTTTTTAAAAGCACCTTTGAGACAACCATGACCTGGATGATTGAGAATCTCCATAGACTGAGAGTGCCTCTCACATTCCTTTCCTTCTCTCTCTCTCTCTCTCTCTCCCCCCCCCCCATAATCAAATTCTCTTCTAGAACAAATAATCTCATGCAATAATGAATCTATCTTTGACATATCTAAAGGAGGAGTTTTGGCTGCAAAACTTTGGTCATATTCACTATTAATTTTTTTTACAGCAATTAACTTGCTTGTCAGTCACTGCTAAAACAATTCCCTTTCTTTTCCTGATCTTTCCTTAAAGATTTCTTCTGTACCATTCTATACCATTCTCTAGTACCATTCCCCAATTCCACTCCCAGAAAAAAAACCTCTCTCAGGACTTTAATCTATGTATCTGAGGAAATGGGATATAGACTGGAAAAGTATATGGGATAACAACATCCTTAGACTTTGTGTTACTGTAAATCAGACTAGAATCTGTTCTCAGTTTAAAACAAGTTGGTTGGGCAACTGTTATATCTGTTTCTATTCTTCAGTGATGAATTCCAACTAGACTGAATCAGTAAAGAAAAAATAATATGTATCAAAAACATATCCACTTAATAAAAACAGTAGAAATTCTTCTATGTAGAACATGTATTTAATCTCCCAAATGAAATGTTTATTTTACTTACTTTCTTATTTCCAATATTTATTATTTTTACAAATAAGTCAAGGTTTCCCACAACAATAACAACTTCTATGAGGTGGATTCAGCTGAGAGTTTAACCTTAGGTTTATACCTCACAGAAATTTCTTTTTGATGTAAAGCATGATCTGATCTGACAGGCATATAGTGCTATGTTGGAATTGGTATGCCAGGGAAGTTAGTGACAAAAACATTGGGAAACTAGGAATCAGAGCTTTAGGAAAAACTCAGATATCTTTTAAGCAAGACCAAATATATTGATACAACCTTTCTGTGCTTGAAACCAAGTGCAACAAAAACATTGCCTTGCTGTTAACCTAATAATTATAAAGTATGTAAGAAATAGAATAGAATCTCTGAGCAGAGGAAATATAACTGAAAGGAAATAAAAGTTATACTTCAGTCTTCATTCCCTTCTCTTCATGCCCAGTTATATATTGATTAATTATATAATCAGACTTGAAGCTAGTATAGTTAAGAAAAATAGTTACATACATCGGATCATCAAGAAGTTCTTCAGATGGAATTCTTTTGAAGGTGATCAGGTTAGACATCATATAAATTAGAGAAATAATGCCACCAATGTTAAGATCACCTGAATGATAAAATTTGTATTTAATACTACGGTCATTGATGGCACATTTAGCATCATGGCACATGACCTGCGGAAGCCATATTGTCACCCATAGCATGAAGGGTAGCATAGCAAATCAGAGATGTGCTTTGCCCAAATGATCATTGATGTGGCTTGTGAATACAGGGCATCCAACAATTTTGCTATTTATCTTAGATGATATGAATGCAGAAATACATTGGAAAAACAGGCACAAACAGCCTTGCTTATCAAACCTCGTATTTGAATACAATCAAAAACAAGGCATGTAAAAAACATCAGGCATTCTTAGTTGAGTTACTGTTTTGCTCTGCTTCTTGGAACTCCCAAGAGTCTACTCCCAAGGAGTAGAATTAAATGTGGTCAATTATGGGGGCACAACATCTCATACACTTTTGAACTTGCAGAGGAAAAAAATTGATCTCACCTCAGTGTAAATTGTATGTAGCTTTCTGTGTAGCAGCAAGAGAAAAACAGGTTCCAATCAAAGCAGATAATATCCAGAAAAGTAAATAGATAATATTAAGAATGAAAATGATATTTGTTTTTACAGATTTTTATTTGTATACTGGCATGACAAAAAAAAATCAGGTTTGCACTTGTAATAAGCTTCCATAATGAGAAAACAAATATGTTAAGTCAAAAAGCTCCATCAGAAAGCATGTCAGAAAACATCCATGGCTTTACATCACCAAGAGTTCATTATTCTTCTCTGTCCAACAATCCTCTAAATATATTAAAATGGGTTCATTTTACAAAATGTTATGGTCAGTATTATTGTTATGGTTGATTAATCAGTCTTGACTTGTGGTGCTTACAAGAGCAATCCCATGAATTTTTCTTGATGTTTTCATAAATGGATTGCCATTTTGTTCTTCTTAGGGCCAGGAAGAAATGACTGGCTCAAACCTATGCAGGTGGTGCTTATGTCAAACTCATATTTATTTGTCATTTGGTTGTGATCCAGGGCCTGAGGCTATGAGAAACTGGATAATATGAAATGTAATGAGGTTAAACAACAGAAGGCTTGGCTGGCTGGTTACTCTCTTTGCTGCAATTTTAACCCTGGGGTAATCTGACCCGCCTTTCAGGATCTGTGAGACTCGGAGTTAAGATTTCTTTTGGACTCCTGGTTTTTGATAGATTTGCATATGAAGGGAGAACATTTAGCTTCTGCTGCTTCAGTTTTGTCCCTATCTAGAGTGGGGAGCACTGGCAAAGTCAATCATCCCTTGATCATTGCAGAATGAGACTACAGCAATATATCTTATATTGAAGAAATAGTAATTGATGCAGCCTGCAGCAGCACATGTCCATTTTTTTCTCTTTTATATTGACCCATATACATTCTGGAGAGATTTTGTCTTGGATCATGTGCATTTCTGCAGATATGTAGTGTTCTCTTACATTTAACGCAACTCCCCCTCCTCTTTTTGTAAACCTGTTTCTTTTGAACAATTTATATCCATCTATCTTTTGTCCCACCAAGTTTATGTAATGCCAACTATGTCATACCTTCCCTCGTGTACTATTGCTTTTAGTTTGCCCTGTTTATTCTGTGATAGTGGAGGTGTTAGAATGCAGCATTGTAGGCTAATTCTGCCAACTGCCAGCAGTTTGATCCTGACCAGCTGAAGGTTGACCCATCCTTCCATCCTTCCTAGGTCGGTAAAATGAAGACCTAAATTGTTGGGGAAAATATGCTGACTCTTTAAACTACCACTATGAAGCAGTATATAAGTCTAAATGCTATTGCTATATTTAAAAAGAAAAATCTTGTTTTAGAACAAAAAGGAAGAATTACAGAAGAAAATTAAATTGATCAAATAGGAGAATTTTGAACATGCAAATCAACCAGAAAAATGTATAATTTATCAACTCTAAAAGAGAAAGAAACACAATATCAGCAATAAAGAAAAGAAACAAGCTGTTGCGTTAAAAATAGGTAACAATAGAAAAAATGATAGTTTTCTTGAAGGAACTTGAGGTCAACCTTGATGAAGCTGCTATGAATAAATATATTGAAAAGTGGGATATCAGAGAATTCAGTGACCAACATAGACAAATATTAAGCACAGTTCAAAAAATGAAAACGGTTTCCATGTTGGAAGCAATTAAGAAAAATTGTATGGTGTGGTATTGAGTTTTATACACCATCCAGAGTTCCTATTTGAAGGAGAAGGGCTGTACAGAAATGTGATAAACAAATAAACAAACAAAGAAAGAATGGTTTACAGCAGGGGTGTCAAACTGCCAGCCTGCAGACCGGATGCGTCATCCAGAAGCCGCACCCACCCCATTGTCAGCAATGGCAAAACTGGCCCTATACATTGCGCGATGTCATGTGACATCGCGAGTTTGACACCCCTGATTTACAGAGAGTCATTCAATTGTTTAAGGAAACAGCAAGAATTAAGCATTGAAGCCAGAATATACCACAGCTGATATATTTACAAATTGCTGGAAGGATAAAATTTGATCAAAAGAGTAAAGAAGGGACACTGAGAAAAATGACAGAATTTGAATGCTTCTTTAATCAATTTTATTTATGGCTAAAAGACTCCAAAGCAAGTTACAGACAATCTAAACTTGGCATAGGATAAAACAATTCAACAGCTAAAATATTTAATAAATATTACATAAATAATAGATTTTAAACTCCAGTTTACTGATTATTTATTAAAAGCCTTGTTTTTAATAGTTAAAAATCTGGCTGTTGCAATTATAATCTTGGTATTTTCATCTGCAAGTAACATTTACATACTCAGAAGTATCTCTTCCTGATTTAGATATTAAAATTGGCCAGATAACTACTTGCCAAAGACTATTATAAAATTTGCAATCTCCTCTATTTGTCCTAAATATGACATGGAGTAGAGCCAATAAATAATTGATAAATAACCATTTGTAAACTGCTCAGGGTTGAATATGAGTTGAGTGACATATAAAAGCAATATATTTTTAATGTTGCTATTATTGATATTGTGTAAAAAAAAGGATGTAAATCTTTAAAGAACCAATCACTAATAGTGTATGTTCACAACAGAGGTTTGATCAAATTCAAGTAACAATGCTTCCATATACATAATATGGCTGACAAATTTTGTCATTGTCTTTCAACCCTTCACTTAGCTTTAAATCTTCAATTTAAACAATCTTTTCTTCACTAATATTCCAGAAACCATAGTCAATTTTGACACAAATATGACATACAAATACAGTCAAACCAGTGGTGGGATTCAAATATGTGAACAACCATTTCTCTGTGTGGATACCACTTCCAGAAGTCCATTTTGGACCTGGGCAACAAAAAATTAGCTACTGGTTCTGCCAAAGTGGTGCGAACTGGCTGAAGCCCACCACTGAGTCAAACCAATATCTTCTAAGGCAATGATGGTGAACCTTTTAGAGACCGAGTGCCCAAACTGCAACCCAAAACCCACTTATGTATCGTCGGGTGCCGGGTGGGCGTGGCCCATTGGGTGGACATGGCCCATTGGGTGGGCGTGGTTGCAGTGGTAACGGCAGACTGGGTTGGACTAAAAATTCAATCAATCAATTCCAACGTTGCAAGATCTTTTTTTTTCCCGCGAGAAGTTGAAATTGATTGATTGATTGAACCTTTTTTTTTTTTGCACATGGCGGCGGAGGCCTAAAGTGAAAAGGTTTTATAAAACTCAGCTGAAGGCCTAGGATTGGGGCAACAGAGAGGGCTCTTCGTCACCTGTGGCACGCATGCCATAGGTTCGCCACCACGGTTCTAGGGAAATATATAATTACAAAAATCTCTCTTTCTCTTTCTCTTTCTCTCTCTCTCTCTCTCTCTCTCTCTCTCTCTTTCTTTCTCCTCCCAGGTGAATGCAACAATGAATTGGATTTCTACAAGACTGCTATCACTATCAGGCTAAAGTCAATCATTAATTAAAAAAGAAACAGAAACCATTCATTTGATGCAACAATTGAAGCAGGGCAGAATGAGCTGCTATCCAAGGCTCATGAATAAGAGTGATATAAAAATTAAACAAGCTGACAAAGAGATCATGAATAAGGTGAATTATGTGAGGAAAACAGAAACAATTCTCCACCATCTTTTTCTAATATTTCTCCTCAGTTCCCACAACAATACATTACCTGAGGCTTTCATGCCTAAAGGGGGACAAGAAAAGATGGTTTCCTAGTTTCTAGCTCAGCACCTTGCCTGCTAAAGTGAAGTAGTCCTCAGATTTACAGAATTGGGGCATGAGATATTGGTGTGGATTTTTCTCTACATTTAATAAAATGATTGTGGAGAATATTGGGAGTGTTTTTCTTTGGTGGAAGTGGGAGCATCATGAAGTTCAACTGCTGCAAGACATGGAGCATTTCATTTTGAGATTAGTGTATGTTATAACATTAACAATTGATTTTCATGCATTACTTTCTTCTTGATTATCTATTCCCTATTACTCTGATCAAAGATCAGAGCAATTATCTAACATTTGAAAAAAAGCTCTCTAAGTTCTGAAGTTAATTTGGAAGGCTGCCTTGTACAGTATGTCACCTTGATATGCTGAAGGAGGGATGATTGCAGAATTCCAAACTTTAAAACAACAACTATATGCTGAAAGTCACCAACTTAATTACATTCAAGGGGTCTGGTATAAAAATCAGTTTCATTTCTTTATTAGTTGTTTCTTCTTATTCAGATCAGGTCTTAGAATAATGATATAGCATTTAGGCATAAATATGCAACCTAGTAATCCAGCTGCAGAAGCCAAAATGGAAAAGATTTCCACAGCCACCATGTACTTCCCCTTGGTGCTCAGATAGGTGGGAACAAATGATACCCAGACACTGCAAAAGACCAACATGCTGAAGGTGATAAATTTGGCTTCATTGAAACTATCAGGTAAATTCCTAGCTAGGAAGGCCACCGTGAAACTGATAGCAGTCAAGAATCCCAAAAATCCAAGGACTGTATAAAACATTGTGGTTGAACCTTCATTACATTGCAGGACAATTTCTTCAGCCATGGAGTGTTTGTCATAATCTGGAAAAGGGGGAGAAATTACCAGCCATAGTACACAAATGGTGAGTTGTACCAAGGAGCAAAATAGGACAATTATGTTTGCCAGCCTTTTCCCCACCCATTTCCTCATTTTGGAGCCTGGTTTGGTGGCCATGAAAGCTAGAACCACTATGGTTGTTTTCCCCAATATGCAAGAAAGAGCTATTGAGAAGAGGATGCCAAAAACAATTTGTCGCAAGAGACATTTCACTTGTTTAGGTTGCCCAATGAAGAGCAAAGTGCAAAGGAAGGAAAGGAGAAGAGCACTGAGAAGGCAATAAGTGAGATTTATGTTGTTAGCTTTGACAATGGGAGTTTCCTGGTTTTTAATGAAGATCACCAGAATCATAGCTGTGATGAATGAAAATAAGATAGCATTCACTACCAAAGAAATCCCCAGAGATTCTTGATATGTCAAGTAATTTATGCTTTTTTGAATGCACATATCTTGATCTTTGTTTGGATATTGATACTCTGGACATGTAAGACAATCATCCAAGTCTGTTAAAAAAGAGGAAAAAAAATAAAATCACAAGTTTTGGACATTAATCATTACTCACAGATTAGATCTACTAAGACAGGGGTCCCCAACCCCTGGGCCATGGACCGCACAGCTGGAGGTGCGCTGAAGGCACCTTCCACCTCTGGGCATGAGGCGAGAATGCAGGGGTCTGGGTAGGGGCGGGAGAGTGGCTGTGCAGAAACTGTCTTGCTCAGTGCAAAGGTCCTCCGGCAGCTGCACTTCCAACTGGCTATTCCTCCTCCTGCTACTTCTTCCTCCTCCTCCTCTTCTTCCTCACTTTCCTCACTTTCCTCCTCTCCCCCTTCCAGCACCCCAGTTGAACTTGCACACCCTTCATGCAACTCTCCAAGTTTGCAAGACAAATGTATGCCAGCCCAGCTTGAAACTGAGAGCTTCCCCAAAGCCTCATTGGAGGGGGACCCTCCCAAAGTATGTGTGTGTGAGGGTGTCTTTTTGTTAGGGTACAAATAGGGGCAGGGAAAAGCTTTCACCTTAAACCCTGCGTCTCCAAGGGATTCTCTCTCCTGTATGCACCTTTTCTAAGACTGCTGGGCTCCATTGCACTTCAACCTGAGTATTTCCCTTTTGTTTTGATGCTCCAGGTGCCTCGTGTTTTGGCAACATCCTGCCTGCTTTTTGTGGTTTATTTTGGTGTGTGTGTGTGTGTGTGTTCCTCCTTTCTTCTGCAGCTCTCCAAGTTTGCAAGCCAAGCGCACTCCTACCCAGCTTGCAAAGGGGGAGGGGGAGGGGAGAAGCTACATTTCCCCTTAAGCACTGTGTCTCCAAGGGAATCCCTCTCTCATTTGTACCTTTTTCGAGACTGCTGGGCTAGTACAGTGCTGAGTTATAATGCAATTTATAATATGCTTGTCAAGTTACAAAGAACCAGGTCCAAATTCAAAGAGTGTTCATTTACTGTTTTGTTGCTCAAATCTATGCACAGTTATCTTTTCAACTAACTGTTTGCATCTGGGTAAAGCTAGATAAGATTCAATGGCATTCAAAGGGTGTTAGACCTTATAATGTTGGTTTTGTATGTTTTTATGATCAAATGCATTACTGAGCTATGAACATTCAATTCAAATATTTCATTGCTGAACTATTCAATATGATGTGAAATTCAGGAATTTCAGCCACCATAATATTGATGAAAAATTCAGATCCCATTTATATTTATTGAATCATTGATATAGATTCACATATAATTTGCTTACCCAGTTGGTCTGCTATCATTCCTTTTGGACACCGTCTACAGTCATAACAGCAGGATAATTTCCCTTCCACTTTTATTTTGCTATGGCCCAGAGGACATTTCTTGTTACAGATGGAAAGAGGTAATGTCTGTATACAAATAAAATCAGATTTTTTTCAAGTGAAGAATTTATGTTTCATGATAGTCCTTTTCATCAATTAGACAGAGCCACATTCTTCCTATGTAATTCAAAGTTTGTTCTGCAGTTTTCTAGATTTCTTTCTAGTTTAAATTCCCTTCCCAACCCCTCAACTGCTCCTTATCACACACTTATTACATTAATGGATTGATTGAGCCAAACCTAATATTCTAAAGATCTGTTCTAAAAAAATCAGAACCAGTAGCAGATGGTGAGAGAGCTTTTAATTCTCAAAAATCCTTGGAGCATATTTTCCCTGAAGTTCTAATTTTTTGATGAGGGTCCTACCTTTGCTATAGCTCTTTCAAAACTGGGTTGAATTTTCAATTTTCCATATACATCTCTTATTGAAAGATTTGTGAACATTTTATTGAAAAAAATCCAATTTTTAAAACTGAGTTATTTTTAATCTGGCTGCTTATAGCCGAATGATGTTTGTTTGTTTGAAACATGAGCAGATTGAAAACAAAGCACATCTTTAATTATTTGCAGGTAATACTAATACTAATCATTTCCTCATATTCTTGTTCCCAAAAGATGTTTGCACTGAGATAAGAGACTTTTTAAGAAGAGACAGGACAACAATTTTTCTGAAATAATATAGGATTTTCTGCCTGAGCAGGGGGTTGTACTAGAAGACCTCCAAGGTCCCTTCCAATTATATTATTATTATTATTATTATTATTATTATTATTATTATTATTATTATTATTATTATTATTATTATTATTACTACTACTACTACTACTACTACTACTACTACTACTACTACTACTATTATTCACCCAGATATTCAGACTGGATTTGACATTTTTGTTTACTTATCACGTCCTTAACAAGTACCTGGGATAGGCAGATGTGGATGTTTGAATTGATGTATTACAGATATTATCGCAAGATGGAAGCTGTTCCTAGTAAGGCTGCCTTTTGCAGTTGACTGATGATGAATTTGTCAGTGCCAATGACAAATTCGCCATCAGTCAATTGCAAAAGGCAGATGATGATGATGATGATGATGATGATGATGATGATGATGATGATGATTATTATTATTATTATTATTATTGATCATCGCACAGTCAGCCAGATGTTCAGACTGGATTTGGCATTTTTGTCTGCCTATTGAGTCCTTACCAAGGACCTGGGATAGGCAGATGTGGATGTTTGATGGTATTACAGATATCGTCATAGGATGGAAATAGTTCCTAGTAAGGCTGCCTTTTGCAATTGACTAATGGCAAATTTGTCAATGCCAATGGTTTTCAAGTGGTGTTCCAGTTGTTTTGGGATTGCACCCAAGGTGCCTATTACTATTGGTACTACCCTTGCTTGCTTTTGCCACAGTCTTTCTATTTCTCCAGTTCTTTCTTGTCTATTCTGCTGTCTCCAGGCACTGCCACATCCACTATCCAGACTTTTTTGTCTTTCTTAT